CACACACTGGAACTCGCATCCATGGTCTACACCATTGCAAAGGTCCCGGACTCAAAGGAGAGACGACAGGTCAGGATGAATCAGGGCGGACTCCATCAGCTAAGACCCCTCACCCCTCTACACAATGCAGAAGACCCCTCCTCACCCTGACAGCTCCTTCCATCAGGCAGCAAGTCATGGCCCTCTCTGCAATGGCACCGTGGCCCACCAAGGGTGTTAACACACTCATGTTGGCAACTGTGGTTCCCAAAGCTGCAATGGTCAATGGCTGGTGGGAAGGAAGAGGCAGCAAGATGTCACTTCTAATTGGAGCCATCAGAGGTCTCAGTCCAGGGTGGGAGGGCTCGCTCACCCCTGCAGCTCCTCTAATCCTGCTGGAGTACAAAGCCAGCTTGGCAGTGATAGAAATAGAAGCCTGGGGAGCTAACGTATTGGTGCTCACAGCTGTGGGTCCATGGGTCCCTTCAGTGCACAGGTCAATGGCTGGGGAAGGGGGGAGGTCATCATATACCCTAGGGCCGTACTTCTCAGCCCTGAAAGCACAGCTTTTTAAAAAAATACCTATGCCTGGACCCCAGCTCTCAAAGATCCTGTCTTAATTAGTCTGGAGTGGGACCCAGGCATCTGTGATTCCTATATGCATAGCTCTCCTTCCTACTGGGCCAGGTGGCCCTCCCAACTCAAGCCCAGATGATGCATCCCACTGTGTCCCTTACTAAGCCAGGCATAAGCCCAAGAATCCATAGTTGTAGAAGACAGGGCCCCTGACCTGCAGGTGCTCACTGACTTACAGGGGAAGACTAGGATCTGTCACTTCACCCATCTGAGACTCCATTTCCCCATCTGCAAAATGGGAATATAATAGAAGAGAACAATTGCTATTTACAACTTCCTTCTGAGGAGATGCCCTGTTGGGTATCTTGATGGTTTAAAAGTACAAAAATGGCCTAGAGCTACTCTGGGGAATAGGGACTAGAGATAATTGAATTGTCCTGCATACAAAAAGTGAGAATGTGGGATTCCAAGAAAAGAGGTGGGAGTGGAGAGAGGAAAAACAAAGAACAAGAGAGATGGTATGAAGATGAAGAACTGTGTGGGTTGAGCCTACCAGTGAAAAATCCCATTTGGGGTGACTGAGGGTTTTCAGGGTCAAGAGTGCCTAATATTCAATGATAAAGAATGGATGTTTCCTGTCTTGTGTGTGTTTGACTTTCCTTAGATGTAATTCACACCTCTGTTCACACCCATCTTTAGTAAAATGAACATACGGAAAAAAGTTTGGACAATTAAGTTCGTGAACTTTCCACTGTGCTCTTACATGGTGGAAAAGTTAGCAAGCTTAATTGTTTGAATTTTTTGTACACATGCACTTACATATACATGCACATGTCCTTGTGTGCACACGTGTGTAAACCAAGGAAGAGGCTGATTTATATGCATGGACAAGAACAGCATGCATAGGGTGGAGAAATTGAGAGAGGACCCATAAACTGAACGAATTCAGCAGAAGCTCAGTGTGAGAGGAAGCACTTGGGGAAATTCCCAGAGATCTTGAGGGAGGGATTGGAATGTTCATGGGTCATCACATGGGGCTTCAAGCCAGTCTTTTCTAAATTCTAAAAACCAGAAGACCCCATCTGACACCTGGCTTACGGGGAACACATGACCTCATTTTCCAGGTTACTGTGAGGTTGAGAGATGATGTATACAGCACTCCAAGCACAATGTCCAGTTTTAACTTGGCACTCAGCAAATGGTAGCTGCCGTTATGATCCAAGGAGTAGACACACATACACATGAAAAAGAAAACCCCAATTGTATAAGCGAGGCATTGTGTGCCATAGCTTTTCAGAAGGCAAAATGAAGAACCAGGCCTTGAAAGATTTGCAGGTGCATAGAGGAGAGGCAAGAGAGCCCAGGTGAGCAGCCCAGAATGAACTGAGATGCAGAAGCAAGAACGACAGCATATACGGGGCGGGGGTGGTGGTGTATGGAGATCCTCACTGAAGACCCCAATTGTGTCTAAGTAACAGAAACTGTAAAGATGTGCCTGTGAGAAGACACAAACAAGTTTGGGAGTTGTATTGAAGCCAGGTAGGAGATGGGCCTGAAAGAGGGGAGAGAAGACGCAGAAAGCACGCCCAACTGTGAAGTCAAGATTTCTAGCCCTGGTCCCACCAAGGACTTGTGTGTCCCCAGGCACGCCATCCCTTTATTAGACCTGTAAAGTGAGGGAGCTGGGTTTTTACTTCCAAAGGCCCTCCCAGACCCACTGGGCTGGTTCTGGGGGCAGTGGGGGAGCCACAGAAGGCTCAGGAGCAGTGGGCGTGCAGGGCAGGGGTAACTCTCACCCAAACAGCTCTTGTTATCTGCTGCAAGCTGGTAGCCCGTGTTGCAGGCGCAGTGGAATGTGCCTGGGGAGCTGACACATTGGTGCTGGCAGCCGTGTCCCCCCTCAGCACACAGGTCTTTTCCTAAGGACACACAAGAGTAGAATCAGCAAGGGACAGAGGGGCAGAACCCTCAAAAAAGAGAGCAGGATGGGATCGAAGGCAGGGCACCATGCTCAAGTATGGCCTTAGATGGAATATGACTCACTTGAGAGGGGCCAATCCAGGTGGGAAGGCTTAGGAAAAGAAGAGGGCCTGAACAGCCCCTATGAACACGCTCAAAAGAGAGGGGCTCCGGGCTACATGTGTCAATGGGATAGGGCAGAACTCCACTGGGGTAAGGTAGTGGAGGTGGAGAAGTGCTGAATCAAGGTGGGCGGAGTAACTCAAAGTGTGACTAGAACAGATCTTGCAGCATTGTAGGAGAAGCTAAAAATGAGAGTGGGCAGGGCCGTGCCTGTGAGGGCAGGACGCGGCTCTAGAGTAGGCGTTCCTCTCATCTTTGAAGGGCGCTGTTGGAGTTTGACATTAAGCCTGCGGTAAACCACAGCAGCTCATCCTGGTAGGCCGGTACGTCAAATGTTGCACCAGGTGGGCGAAGCCTAAGCCAAAGTGGGAAGAGCTGGCAACTGACACAGCCTGCGGTAGGCCTGAATCGCTCAGCTACCTGGAGGGCGTGGCTAAAGCTGGAATGGGCGGGGACTCCCGGGATGGGGTGGGATTTACTGATGCGGGAACCGGAACCTGAGCAGTTAGAGAGTTCGAGCCTCGCTCTAGCGTTCTCCTAACTCACCACACAGCCGGCCCTGGAACTGCAGGCCAAACTCCTGGATAAGGTCAAAGGACTCAACTAGAAAGACGTGCTCGTCCAGCGGGGGGGACGCCATGGCGCGCAGGGAGCCCACGTCGGCGCGCTGCACCCCCACGGCATAGATTTCAATGCCGCGGGCGCGCGCCTGCGCCGCCACCTCGGCCACGCGATCCTGGGGCCGCCCGTCAGTCACGATGACAGCGACACGCGGCACGCGCGCCTCTGGAGGGCGCGCGCCCTCGGCCACGCTGAAGGCCACATTCATGGCGTACTGGATCGCCAGCCCCGTCATGGTGCCCTGCGCCAGCGGCACCAGAGCTCGGATGGCGCGCTCCATATCCTCGCGGCGCGAGAAGGCGCCGAGCGGGAAGACGCTCTGCACTTGGCTGGAATACTGGATTACGCCGACGCGTGTCGCGTTGGGCCCCAAGTCCAGGCCGCGGAGCAGGCCCACCAGGAACTGCCGCATTGTCTCGAACTCGAAGGGGCGCACGCTGCGCGAGCTGTCAATCACGAACACCAAATCCAGGGGCCCAGTACGGCACCTGGGACCTGCGAGGAGATCAGGAAGGACTTTCCTAAGTCAGCAAAGTTTCATCTCTGAGGAAACCCCTAGGGAAACCCAGGGCGGAATGATACTAACCCAGCATAACAGCGTCTGCACAGAATTAGCCTAGCAAATGCAAGCTATTGGAGATACATTCACTCACCCAGCATTTGATGAGGGCTTGGGCTATGAGACTTCACCAATTCTCTATCCTACAGCTCTGAGGGCTATTCTGAGGAGGTATTATCGATTCAGGAGTGGGTAACGGTTACTGCAAACTCAAACGCCTATAGGGCCCAGGCAGGCAATATAAATAAGTGTGCTGGCGGGATAGACGGTGGACACGCAGAGAGCCTGTATACCTCCTAGAGTGGGCAGCTCCCGCCAAACGTTGCCATGCAGCCATGCAGACCCTGTGTTAGCAGATCCTTAGATTTTTCAAGAGAAGTCCCAAATCAGGATTTTTATGTGAAATGTCCTGATTTTTTTTAATTAACTTAAAATTTTTTAACATTAAACGGGCCTTCTGCTTAAGCCCAACTCTGTTACCTCTAAGCCACATCCGAACAGATGAGGAGACTGAGGCCCAGAGAATTGAAGTGGTGAACTCGAACCCAGCGCCCATGGTTCCATAGCTGTTGCTTTTCTCTCCCCAGCAAGCCTAGCTGGCTGCAGACTGAAAACCTGCTTTTGTTCCCCTCTGCTCGCTGGTGAGGGCTGGGCCCCGGCTCACCTGCGAACTGGAGCTGGGTTTCCCAGGGCTGGAGAAGGAGCAGCAACATGGGCAGTGGTGAGCATGGAAGGACCCTCATGGCGCTTGGGGAACAGAGGTGTCAGAACCTGAAGGGAGAAAGGGAAATAGCACAGCAATTATAGAACTCTCATT